TCAGTCGAAGAAATAAAATCAAATGGAGATTAACGCCATACTGTTCTGCTGCGACTTGGCTAAGACGGGCATACGCCATGTGAGGGAAATTTTGCCCGGACAGCGGCACTACATCATACTCTAAATATCGAATTCCATTTGCCAAGTTAGTGTTCTTTTACATCGCCTCCAGTCCATCAAACCGGATAATGAGGTATAAAATATCACTTGAAAACACAAAATCTACGAAATAAAATGAAATGAAATGGGGTTTAACGTCCTCCGTTCTGCACCACCGACAAGGGGAGAAAACACGCTGGAAAATTCCGTCCCTCCTGGTTAGCAAAGGTAGCTCTCTATATTCACTGAGCCATTGTGGCAGCTTATAAACTTCGAGCGCCTGATTGCATGGTTTAAAAATGTCTCATAATAGATGCAGAACAGTAGGGCGTTAAACCCCATTTACATGTAATTCCATTTCATTTCGTGTTTCAAATAACAGAGCATCATTTAGAGAAGTTAATATGATTACACGTTCCTTAATGACTGTAAGTTATTCATACTGCCACAAGCTTATTGGAAACGCGAAGGCACTCCGACTCGCTAGCTCAGTCTGCCTGGTAAACCACATTTCATCTCACAAGCTTATTGGAGACGCAGTGGCGAAGTCAGGAAGGCACTCTGGCTCGCTAGCCCATTGTGCCAGGTAAACCACATTTTATCTCACAAGCTTATTGGATCCGTGGTGTCGAAGCAAGGAGAGAGAGAGAGAGAGAGAGAAATGGGGTTTAACGTCCACTCGACACAAACCAGGTCATTTCGGGACCAACATATGGTTCAATCTTATTTCAATAATTCGCTTGCGCGTAGGAAACCGGAGGACCCGGAGAAAACCCACGAGGTTAGACACGCCACTCCTTGTCACGTACAACCGGAGAATCGAAACCACGCCAGTTGATTCAATGACAGAGACAGAACTTATGATGCAGCGCACACACGCTAACCATTCGGCCACCCAACCTCCCGTCGGAGTAAGGAAGGCACTCGCTCGCTAACCAGGGTAACTGGTAAACAACATTTCATCTCACACGCTTATTTTAAAATACATCCGACAAGCTGTCATAATTATCCGTTAAAAACAGAAGCACCGTGTACTTTAAGTGTCATTCTGAAATTATTTTACACGACATTTCATGTCATCCTGAAATCAGTTTACACGACACCACGCAATCTATTTACTCGCGTAACAAGTGACAAATAGTATTTATTCGTTATTGGGAGACATAACAATCGGAACAACATGTTAGACCGACATAACAATAGAGATTTCACGATATAGAGACATAATAATAGGGACTACATGTCATATCAACGACTACCATATAACATATTGATAAAAGGTAATGAATTCACAATCTTAAAACGGGATTTACACATGAATGAAAACATATATTTAATTTAAGAGTTGGTCAATAAATTCCAACTAGCCTTTTATTGCTTTACCCTACTACTTTATTGGTAAGTACGTGGTAGCCTTTCAATGATATAGCTATAGTGCAAAACTTATTTATAGTTTCTCTCTCCCCCTCCTCACCCCTTTGGCATGGTGATTTTTGTTGACTTTCTGGTGTAAAATCGAAGACAAAAGTTTGAATATATATTTCCTGTCAGGTTTTTGTGAGTATTGGTGATTTTAAGGCGGAAGGATAACAGTGTTAGAGGGACAATAACACTCTTGCTGGCTTGACAGCTCCAGAAAATAAAAAATACCCTTATTCTAAGTAATAGATGTGTTACTGTCTTACCTGTTGTATAAATTATCCATTAAATCCTATTTTACTTGTCCAGAGGGTTCAAAAATATTTTTAAATCCAAGTAACATTTGAAAAGCTTTACGTCAGGCTTTCCAAATCATTTAGTTGAATTTTTCCAATTTTTTAAATTAGGTGTGTTAAAGCGGAAATTGCAAATTTTCAAGTTATATTTTTAAAATTTATTAAAATAAAGCCTGAAAATAGATGGTATCCATAAACAGTCCTACCTTGTTAAAGAATAATCCTATTAATCCTATAATTCACTATTGCCAGCTGAGAAATTGGCAAAAATATCATTTTCCTCTTCATTTTCAAACGTTTGAATATCGCTACTCCATGGTGGAGAATAGAAAACAAGGGAGGTAATTGTGTTATTATTTCCTGTGTCAATGAATCTTAAGTGTGAGAATGACACCTATGATCGTATAATTGTGAGTTGACAACCTATTGAGCAAAAGACATAGAAATAATTACGTTTTGACTTTCTTAGAAAATTTGCAATTTCCGCTTTAAGATGAAATTTATATCACCAATCAATTGGAATATTGTAAAATAGTACAATTTGTTGACCAGAATAAAGTTTGGGACATATTATTCAGTTACAACAAGAGTGGTATTGGGCCTTTAAGAGGTGGGATATGTTGAAATGTAAGGCGGACAGTTGAATGTTTCTATGGCGACCCTCATACATGCTTTTGACCTATGCACACAGAAGATTATTTTAATATTACTGGTTGATTCCTGTGCAGACGTTTGAAATGTTGCCCCCCCCACCCCAGAAACACCCAGATAGTTTTCGTTTTCTACAGTTTGTTTATTTGATGACCATCCAAAAGTTTCCATTCCGCTAAAACAAGGGTTTTTTTCATTTTTGAGTTAAAGCTACAGTCATCAAAAGTAAGTCCGACTAAGTCTAAAATAACTCTGCAGTTTCCAGTGAGAATCAAGTCGTGGTCATAAACAACTGATTTCGGTCATAAACAACTGATTTCGGTCATAAACTGTAATTGATTTCGGTCATGAACTGTTGATTCTGGTAACAAACGATATGTCCACATAACATGGGAAGAGAATGCTACCGACGATTAGACCTCGTAGTTGTTGTTGTTGTTCGTGGTGTTTAACTTCCGCTTCCACCGAAGGTGATATCACAGACAAGTTGTCTTATTTTTTTATATATCTTCCATTATCTTAGCGCACGCGTAGGGGTCTTTCCTGTGGGATGAACTGGCGTACCCGAGGTAAACCCACGAGGTTGAGAAGGCGCCCCTATCCCCAAGCATACACTCACACCAGGGATCGAAACCAAGATCGCAAGCCTGATGTGGCCGGTCAGCAAGAGCTCGAAGCGCAACACTCTAGATCTCTAGGCCATCCCAACCCCCTAGTAGTCTCGAATTCCAACTGTCAGGGGTTCTTTTACGTACACGCCAATATTTACACGTGGCCCCGATTTTTCAACCCATTCGTTCGGGGCAGCAGGTTAGAAAAGTTCTAAGAACTTTCTCGGCCAACACCATGATAGATTCCGGTGGATGTCTAGACCACGTTCTACTTGATAATCAAGACTTGAGTAGCATCCTACTTGATAATCAAGCATATAGGATATTCTATCGCATGATGGTCTAAGACTAGTAATTATTTACCCTTATTTCATGATGGTGCGAGGTTTTATAATTAGACAATTTTCCCTTATTCTTTTTTCTCTCCCCTTTTCCTGCATTTTCTGGTTGACTTTTTGTTCTAGATTTGGAGAAAATGGGTCAAATTTGCAATTTCATAGCAGTTTTGGGTAATACTGATGATATTTCAGCGGAGGGCTAGGTAGTGTAAAGTGTCTGTCTGTAGAGCAATCATTGTCAACATCAAATCCCCGTAGTAAAATGAGATTGCCAAATGCGGTCCCATTATGTGCCTATAAAGATTGGAACCAGCGGAATGTTGAGCAAAAAGCTACAGCCCGTGATGTTACAGCCATTTAACATTGACGTCAATGGGCAAATAATTGCTGGTATGAGACCAGATAACACACGAAACGTGAATTATGTTACCAAAATTACTTTCGTTTCAAGCGAACGGAAATAAATTTATTTTATTCATTTTATCATTTCGTGGTTGCTGGAATTTATTTTTGAATTATTGACAGCAATTTAATAAATAACACTAACAATAGTCCTTTATGTCTTAGCGAGAGAGAGAGAAATGCGTTTAACGTTCACGCGACACAAACTCTAACGTATGGCTCAAACTTATTCCAATGATGCGCTTGCGCGCAGGGGTCTTCAGCAGTGAGAGCAAACTGGAGGACCCGGAGAAAACCTACGAGGTTGGACAGGCGACCCTACTCCTTGTCACGTACAACCGGGGATTCGAAACCACGCCAGTTGACTCAATGACAGACCCTATGATACAGCGCGCACGTGCTAACCATTCGGCCATCCAACCCACCTTCTGCTTATAGTGTGCTATGATGAGAATTTCACCCGGAGGCCACTTGGAGCCTATTTGAGAGAGAACATAACTTTTATGCAAAGCCACCAAGATAACTAAAACTTTGGGGAATGATCGTTCACAGACTGACGTTTAAGTCTAGCAAATTTCATCAAACTGAAAATCCTTGGGATATTTTACGGGATGAAATCAGGGACCTCCATTTTAGCAAGACAGCTTCCTGTTCGGCATTTTAGGGCTGATAATCACAGAGATCCAAGTGTTGCAATATTTTAGTTTCCAGTGTTGCACAGCATTAAAAATCCCTAAAGTTACCATTTGGGGCGGGGAACCACGGTGGCTTAGTGACATTGACTCGCTAATCTGGAGGTCCCGTGTACGATCCAAGTGTTGGTTGAGAAAGATGATAGGGATTTTCTGGCGTGGTTTCCCCTTGTCAGTGGTGTAGGACAGTGGCAAGGGACAACGTATAGACATTTGGACGCGACAAAAAACTGAGGTCTCGTGTACACATTAGCATGTACGTAAAAAAATCAGCAGCCCGTAGCTCCGCTGTCCCGGCAAAATTTTCCTCATTAGCCCAACTGGAGCAGAACAGTAGGACGATAAACCCCATTTTATTTCATAACCATTAGAGGCGATGGTTTTAATGATTTAAGCGGCACCAAATGAACAATAATATTCCTCTAAATTCTAAAAAAAAACAATAACAGGTATTTATCTCCTAAATAATAAAAAAATCAATCAAAAACTTACCGTGTTCATTGACTCGACGTAACTAACTTTCTATTCCTGATTCAATTCCAACCTAAAGTCCCCACCAACAGTAAAAGTTCACTGAGCGAATCAGCCAACTTTGTGTAATGAACACAATATGCTATAACGCGATGTCTGCTTCGTCAAGCACACTCGATTGGCTGTATAGCTTGATCGTTTTTCCTTTTAACAGACAGGAGCTATTCACAGTGCTATCGCACAAACAGTAAGCTTAACTGAAGCACTGTAATGACTTTGGGTCGAAACAAATATATGTAAGTTGTTGTAGATTAAAAAGACCTTCACATAACACCACGAAAGACAAAAATCAATGCCGAGCTTGAATAGCGCTCGTGTAATGTGAATTATTCATTGTATTAAAGGTAGGCCTTAGTAGCTTCGACAATGACTATTTCATTACGAGTTTAAAGCTTGCAGAATTGATTTTAGAATAATTGTTCCTAAGTTTTCTCGCCTAAAGTATCGATTTCTGATATATGAATAACTAGGCCTCGTTCCTTAATGGCAATTACCAACAATGTAATTACCCATTCCAACATAATTAAAAATTAATTGATCTGAATAATTCTCCCACGGGATTACACTGAACCACTTTGCAACGTACATAAATAAACACCGCGATATTTTCTTATTGTGTGTCTTAAATTGTTTGCCAGAGGGTGCCACAGTGACTCAGCGAGTAAAACGTTGGCTCACTAACTTGGACGTCCCGAGTTCGATCCCTGCGTTGGCCGAGAAAGTTCATCGGAATTTTCCGGTTTGCCACTCTCTTGTCAGTGGTGCAAGACAGAGAGTCTGGCAAGGTACAACGACAGTCGTTCGGATGGGACAAAAACTGAAGTCCCGTGTACACATTGGGGTGCACGTAAAATAAACCTTGGCAGTTGGAATTCGATATAAGAGTTATGCCTTGCGCCGCTGTTCAGGCAAAATTTCCCTCATAGCGCATTGTATGGCGTATGCTCGTCTTCATTGAATCAGTCTGGTCAGAACAGTAGTAGGGTGACGCACCATAAATAAATATCTCCAAATATCTCGACAATTACGCCACAATATTTATATATATACCAAGCCTCAAATCAGTTTCACACAATTATAGTCACTAAATAAACGATCATGTTGTACTTAATAAGCTATGACCATTAATCATGTAGAAATAATAGACTGAAAACTGGTTCCAAGTGTCGTCCATAACATCCAGTCACTTTTGAGTAAAAGATAGGTTACGTGCCCTTGTTTTGAAATTAGTCTCGCTTAACCAGTCTATCGATCATTCTTCGTCTGATTGACAGGTCGGGATAATCAAGACTACTTTTTTACGAAACATAACAGAAAGCTAGAACAAGAAATTGAATTTAGAAATAAGCACTTTAGACAACTCAACAATTGTTTTACGAAACTTGTAAAAGTAAAATGAAACTACTGCTAGTATCACGTTCCTGTCTAACCCGAGTGTTTTAGAGATATTATTTGTACTAAACCAAAAGATGCCGCTCTTAACGGTACAGTTAATGATAAAGCAATTTAAAAAATAAAACAAACGTAATTTCTAAAGCTGCTGTAATAACCAAGAAGCTAAATTTTACTGCTATTCAAAATCGTCAACAATAGATTTTTTACGGCTGTAATAGTTGATATATTTGTAGAGAATTGCACGTGCATGGCTATTTATCGACTCAAAGAGAGTGCGGGGTAGTCAGAAATCAGTTCGAGACACGCAACTGAAGCGTGCACATTTAGCCGTGTCGAGACCAACTTTCTGTAGAGTGCACGGGTCATCCTAACAGTAGAACGTTAAACCCCATTTCCTTTCATAAAAATAAACACACCTAGAGGATCCGTAAAACTGGATAACCTCTGTCAAACATTTAATATCGGTGAGATTTTTGTGGAATTTGTTTTCAGAATGTGACAAAGATTGGTGGGTATATAAAAATCTGAATAGTTTATATGTGTTATGAAATCATGTTGTCATTTGTGTAGTAAATACTACAGCCTCGAGATATAGCTCACATACAAGAGTATATACTTATACGTGTATATACATACACAACAAACCGCTATTGTTGTGTAGCTTGAAACATGTAGAAAAGCTCTCTACATTGATTGACAGCCAGCTCTACACATTGACGTTTGGATCGACAGCTTGACAGACAGGTTTAATGTTAAAGGTCACCGGAAAAACTTCTCTTTTTTTTTTAATAATGCAAGTAATTATGTCGATATATTATCCTTTCCATAAGTATAACAACGATCCCAAATGTCAATGTTACCTGCCACAGGTAAATTTCAAGGTTGCTGATTTCCGCCGTTCTCCGTGAGGTGTCGTAACTTTCCGGCAATAAAACAGCCGTGACGTCATTTTAATCCGTATGCTTATAGAAATATAGACTGAATTATGAGCAGAAGTACTAAAATAACGTCACGGCTGTTTTACAAAGCTTTCCGGTGAGCTTTTAAGCCACTCGTCATAATTTACACTCTTCGATCAATATTTGATTGTTGTTTTCATAGCCTCATCCACACTCAAATTGATTTTTTTAAACGTTTAAAGATACATTCTGTAAAATCTCGAATATCCGATGCTATCGAGAGTTGATTATGGTCTTGTTTTATTAATAAATGACTAATTAACAGTTTATATAACAGTTCAGGCCTAAAAAAAAAGACCTGCAATAGGCAGATTTAGCTCTTGCATAATGTATGTTTAATTAAAGAAACAAAATCAACATATGAACCCTCGATAATCTCTGGATTAACATGAGGCACATCAAATGATTTTACTCAACAGTTATAGGTGGCTCTGGTTTATTTGTGCCATCTGTAGAGGATATCGTATGTTGCAAAATGTCAAATTCGTCATATTAATGAGTGGAATTAGACCATTTTTGGCCTCAGATTTCAATTTCAGCTTCCACATTGACTTCCCAATATTTTAGTTTGCAATCACAACTAAGATCCATATTTTCGAACAGTGTCTAATCAGTAACTGGCTAATTAGAGATTAGTAGTTGACTAAGTTTGGTATTATCAATAGTCAGATTAACTAATTTTAGACTAGAATTTCTCTTCATCAACGATTAAACTTAAGTTTTAAAATTTGATTGTGAATCAAACATTTAAGTCATTGATTCCATATAATCATTTCATATAATCATTGATTAAAGAGATTTGTTTATCATTGATGAAAGGGCTCAGTTACAGGAAGTAGATTACAAAAACATGACATTGTGTTTGAGGAGCGTGTTTCCCAACCTGGGGTTCAAAGTGATCAGTAGGGGGTTAGCAGGGAGAAAAAGCGAGTCCGTGAAAAAAAGATATCCAAGCAAATTAGAGTATGAAATGTTTGGTATTGTATTGGGACAGTAGTTGTTATCCTTCACATTTCCCACAAGCGGAGGTGTAATTGTCTTCACTATAATAGAAAATTTTCATGGATTAACATCCGAACTTTTCATTATTTGTAAATTGTGTATGAACTTGCAATATTTCTATTTAAAGGGACCATCCCGGATTTAAACAGAATCTCAGACACAAAAGTGTACGTATGGAATTTAGAGGAATGGTGTATTTACCTTGTTTCAAAATATCAGGTCAATAGATTGAGTCGTTTGGACGTCAACATCAAAACCGCTTATCCACATACGTAAACCTTTTCAGATTTAGATTCAATTTTTTCGTTGGGTGACCCGGTAATCTATTGCCGTTCCTTTAGAGGCCTATACAGTGGATGACCCACGTGCTGTACTTGATAACGAAAGGTAAATTTTACCTACACATTATTTTATAAAATAAAAGTCTGGTTTTATCCAGACACCGCATAATACAGCTTGGGACACCAGTCTCCATTTCCAGATTAAAACTGACGGGTTTAAGTTGTTTGAAAACGTATCACGTTTTAAGGGCTTTGAACAAAAAATTAAGCAGTTTTATTCACCAAAATATAATTGAGTTTGGCAATTTAAATAAGACTCCAGGCGTAGTAAGGTCACCTGGACTGGAAGATGAAATTGTAATTATCATTTTTAATAAAGTTGTTCGCATCGCCCCGCTTGGCATGTCATTATATAAACATAAAATGTGTCTATTTCATGCTCCGATGGAATTTAATTGGTCTTTTAGATACTGCTTTTGCAATTTTTATACATACAAGTGAGCGCCAATTACATAAAATTTCATGATATATATTAAATATAATATCGTTTATTATATAAAAACATGAACAATATATTTGTAATTATCAAGCTTCAAAGACCTAAACTACAATTATTAAGTTCGCTCCTCTTTGAACGTGGCTATTTTCAATTCTTGCATCTCTTTGTTGGAAATATTGTGTGAACATATGAAACTGAAACAAAGAATGTAACAAACATTTTTTTTAATGCAACGAATGTCATTTGTAGTCTTTTTTGCCTTGTGTTTTTATCTATACAGAATCGCTTCAAAGTGTCACCAAATGTGCACTCGGCAAACCTCAACAGATTCCAGTACCCTACATCTAATCTCGGCTGTGTGACAAAGTCCGCCATTAGAACTACTTTCAAGTTCCCGGATTACAATGGCGTTGTCCATGACAACCAATGACGTCATTGATGACGACGTATTTGAAGAATGTTTTATCTTACAAAATTTTCAAAGTTTGAAGCTGTTTTTCTTTCAAGTTTATCCGATTTTCTTTAGACAAGGACAAATTTGCACTGAAAATTCTACACGCTCTTCGAACGACGCAATTTTGAGAACTTCTTTCAAAACGCGGGCAAGTTTCCCTTATAAGTAAACCGGTGCCGCATCGCAAATGTATAGGCGTAGGTACATATCACTTACTGTCATACAGCCGAGGCTAGATGTAGGCTTACGGAATCTGCCGAGGTTTGCCGAGTGACCAAATATGCTGTCCTCGATACGCCCGAGGAGACTGTGGTTTGGCTGACCGCCATCCCACCCCTTTTAAAAAAATCGAAAGTATAAAAAAACGAAACGAAATATAGATCTGTATTTTAATCAGATTGGGTTGATACACCGCAGATTTATCACCCAATAGCACGTTCTACAGTAGATATATCACTTGTGTGCTAACTTTCACAATCTATATTACTGAGCGAAATATCTCGCAAGTAAATACAATCTATACCAAAAGAATTATATTTATTTATTTGTGCATGTAAGAAAGGGTTGCGTGATAAATAAAATCTTCTTACTCGTCTTTTTTTGATGTCAAAAAATATCAACACTTGTCGATAAAGTAAAAAAGTAAATGTATACCACAGAATTATATTTATTTAT